AATTCTTCTTAATGACAATAATGTTCTATGCCTCATTATGCTTTTCGTCAGTGACAGTGGGCTAATAATGCCCAAGATGATCTCTTCAAAACATTGCTTTCTTGGCATTAGGATTAAGCATTAGCATTAGAAATGTAGCATTTTTCACTGCATTTGGTAGTTACCAAACTTGTTTTATGGCAGGGCTGTATTACTGCAGTGTAAATTATTCTCTTGCTTAAAGCTTGTATTGCATAGCTAATTTTTTTTGCTAATGCAGTGACACTCTTGTTATGGAAATCACGATGACAAGCAGAAAAGTTTGGCTGGTAGGGCAGGGGATTTCTTCTTGATTTTTCTGCAGATTGTTCTGGTCTGGAGAAGATGAACTTCCATCTACTCTTTGAAATAGTATTTGTCCTTTATTAGAAATTCTTTGGCAATGGATCATGCAGAATCAAGGTGATTGCTTTGTCACCACCAATCTCCTGTCCCCTTCCCCCCCCAGCAGCACTAATGGCCATTAGCTTTAATTATTTAAAGTTCCTTGTTTTGCTCACAGAAAGCAGCAATCAATGTTCAATGCCAGGTATATGGTTGTGCACCCCCTGTCACTGGTGCTTTACCTAAACCTCATCTTTCAAAGTGTCTGTTTTCTCTGATACAGCCCTTGGTTTTTATTCAGCACCATGTTAGTGCTATTTAGAAAGCTTGAAGGTTTTATCTTTTTTCCAAGCAGAAACATTTCCTCTGTAAATGTTAACCTTGGGACACAGTCCGAAATCTTTATTTTCTTGTGTTTTTCTTCATCTCCAATTAATTTTCAACTCTGGTGCACTCTTGGCTGCAGGTGACAGGCAAAAGGGCAAAACCTAATGGGTGACCTTTCCTCTTAAACTCACCTGTGGCTTATTTTGCTCTTGGTTATCGATGGTCCATAAGCTGTTCAGGTTGCAAGAGTTAAGAAACTCTGAGAAGTGAAGATCTAGAAACAGCAGTTCTTCTCTCTCATGTGCAAAACCACCCCAAAACTGAAAAATGTTGAGCAGTACACAGATATTGTAAACCATACATAAGATGTTAGTCAGACATTCAGACTGGCTCTTAGCAGCTCCAGGAGCCTTTGTCCTATGGGTGGCTTGTGCAAACTACTGAATTGTTCCAGCTTGAGTTGAAATCCCACTGAAATATATAATTTGTGTATGTGGTGAAAAGTATTCACAGCATCTGGACTCCACGTGTCCAAGCTGTAGGGATGGGCTGACTGCATGACTCCTGTAGTGCCTCGAGAGAAGTCTTCCTTAGGATTCAACTTTAGCTAATTTTGACCCACCATCTCTAAAACACAGGGCTGTGGAACAGGGCATGTTGTGTCTGGTGTCCATTTAGGTAATTTTGGGGCATTTGTGGCCTTCTGAGCTCTCACCAGAACCAGGCTGTGGTGTGGGTTTGTAGTCACACATTTCATTCTGTGTATGCTCAGTAAGGCAGAGTTTGCCATGTTTTGTGGTCTTCCCACGTTACTTAGGTTGTATAAAAACAAAGGAGTTGAGGAAAAAAAATGTTCGTTTAAAAATTGCATGTTGGAAACAGCAACACTTGGGATCAAGTATTGTCCCATGTGTTCTTCCATGAACTTATCATAAATAGGGTTAGCAAACTTATAGCTTCCCAAAAGTTTTACCACACAAGACTGCAGAGTTAACACAAATAATATGAAATAAGCTGAATTATGGATTTAACTCATGGGTCACATCACTCACAAGATAACACAGTGTAATGCAACAGAAGTGCAGCTCCTCATGTGCATGAAGAGTGCTGAAGTCATGCTACAAAACTTGCCTAATGATTTGCGGTTTTCCCCCTATGTTACAAAATGTAGTTGAGCAGATGGATGCAGCCAGCTGTACAGAGAGCTTTAGGGAGTACTGGGGAGAAAAGGGAGAGGGTTTTGTTAAGATAAATGTAATAATCTCTGTGATAATTAGTTTAATTTAGATCCCTGCATCTGACTCATTTTTGACTAACCTCGTATGAAGTCTTGCTTGCTTTGCTGATGGGTCTGTGAATTTAGTTTGATTACAATCCCTTTTTTTGTTCTTGTGGATTGCTCACTGATCACTGATATTTTTCATTAAGCAGTTGCTTTATTACATTGTTATTTAGAGGGAAGTAATTTGTGTTTTCTAATTAATTTAATTCCAGGCACATTTAGTAAGTAGCTACAATGAGCCCATTCAAGGGGTTTTAGGTCATATTGACATTGTTTACCAGATGTGCTCATTTGTTTTAAAACATTGTTAACTCTGTGGTGACAACAGCCCTGTGTGATTGCTTGACTCTTCCATCTTCTCTAATCTGTATCTCCAAAACCCCCCAAATTTAGAAGATGCATTTACCTATTTACCTCTGAAAAAGTTGCAGTGAGGTTTTGGGAGAGAATGGAGCAGCCAGGAGGATGAGCTTCCTAGCAAGGCATGGCATGAGCAGTGATGGGACATGTAAATGGAATCCTAAGGCCAGTGTTGTAATTTGCAGTTGTCACTATCCCAAATTCATGGGCTTGGGAAATGTTTTCAGCAGAAGCTTTTTGGAAAAGCTTGGCATTTCCTTGCTCGTGGAGCTCCCAGGATTTGGGGGTTATTCAAGCACTTTGTGTTCATTGCTGTTAAATATGGCATCCATTCCATCATCTGAGCGTGAAAACTCCCCATTATAGCTATCATTTGCTCATTTGGCCTGCTGTGCCAGGAACTGGAGTTCTAAAATGAGACCCTAATTAGATGAATAAATAATATTTTCACAGGAAAGAGTACAGGCAGGTTATTCCCCTGACTATAAGTTTGTCCCATGAAAAACTACCAACATTTGTAACATGTTCTGCAGTCACTTATTTTGGTAAGAAGTAAATTATTGCTTGTTCTGCAGCAGAGTTTGGCACAGAGCAGTGACACTAAGATTCATTGGCCTCTGAAGGACCCACCAAACAATAGTCTTGATGTGTTTTCCATTATTTTTCAACTGTTTTCCGTCTCTTTGGGGTTGGAACAGCCAACATTAATGACAAACTTTGAAAGAAAGGTTTGTTCAGTGGTTCGTACTTACTAAATTTTAGCATTTAATGCTTGTGATGCAATAGACAGAATTCTGATACAATTTGACCCAGCAGTTCATCTGAATTTCTGCTTTATTTTTTGGAGGGAACATTTAAAATGTTGTTAAATCTCTTCTGTATCATGCTGGTCTGTCAAGGGTGCGTGCGTACATGGGGATGCGTTCTATGTATTGATTTAATAGGAAAGATCATCTCTTGGGAAGGGAGAGTAAACGTGTGTGCATGCATGTGGAAGGAGGGAGAGAGAGAGAGAGGAGAATCTATCTGTGTGTTTGTCTCTGTGATAAATGATGCCTGTTAAAAATGTGACTTGCCACGAATGTTATGCGTGTTTTCCTCTTTAAGGGTATTACACAAACACAGTCCCCGTCAGCAGAAATGAAGCTGCAGTCTTGATTGTTTAGTTCAAACAGTTTGATGTTTCATTGTCCCTCAATCAATCAGTGCCTGGAGGGGTATCAGCTATTGGCTGGGAATGCATCAGAGTGACATGCAGAGTACAGAGATTCCTCAAAAGCTTGCAAAGATTTCATTTAAAATACTCGTTACAGTATTCATCCCAGTCTGAGAGCAGCACCAAAGTGAGCTCTGATTATCACTTTTAATTGTGGATCTTCCCTATTCAGTGCTAACATCTCCCAAATTACCTTAAAATAAGCATCTTCCTAGACAGATTTGTAATTCACTTGAATAGCTTATTTTATTCTCTGTGTAAAAGTTAGATGAGGGCATGGGGTTTAGAATAAACAAAATGCATAAAGTAGATAACGTAATGCGGCATAAATGCCACATAAATCACATCCTAAAGACAAAAGCAGATTTCAAACATCTGAATTACTGAGCACTTAATGTGGAGTGTAATCTGTGTTTTGGTTTATGTTGGTTTCTGGAGTGTCACGCAGAGAAAAATATGGGGGGTTTCCTCTCTCTTCCGACAGCGGGGAGAAAAAGGGAGGTCTTGACCCCAAGAACGAGCTTTTCCTGCATTGTAGCTAAATCCCCAGACAAGTGTCTCCTTTGCTTCTGGCAACTGGGCTCTATGCACAACTAGTTGATTGAAATCTCGCTTGAGTTCTCTTGCTCATCACAGACTGAGTAAGAGGCTGCTTCAAAATGCAAAATTATCCTTGAAAAAACCTTTCCTGGTGCCCTCCTTTTTTCCTCTACATCACCTGCAATCCGTGTAAGCCCCCCTTCTCCAAGCTCCCTGGCATCCCCCCCCAGGGGTCAGGGGTAGTGCTGTTCCCAAGCCACAGCTCTCTGAAATTGTACCCAACAGATTAAACCTCAGGCTTCAAAGGTTTACACTTAGGATGGACAGGAAGGAAAACGTGTGTTTTTCCAGTAACATTCATAATTTTAGGGAGAAAAGCTTATTCTTCCTCATGCTTTTGTTTTCCTTTGCCCAGCCCACACCTCTCGGCTCAAGCCCAATGCACATTTTCCCTTCAAAAAAAAAAAAAATCAAAATCAATTTCTAGAGAAATACTTTTTAAAAAATCAACCTGTTCCCCCTGCGCCACTGCGATTGGTCCGATCAGAATCGCCGAGCCATCGCGTCAAAAGCAAAGAGCCTCAGCTTAATTGTGAGCTAAGTCTCCTGTAATCCAGGGGAGCATTTGAGATTCTGCCCAGGCAGGCGCTGAGGGCTGTGGGTTTCTCTCGCAGCCTCCCGGCTCTGCAGCACAAGTCAGCATAGCTAATGCAGGGAGAGCTCTCCCCCCGCTGCCGCTGCCTCTCGCCGGGCTTTGATTCGATATGAACAGACTGGTAACTCCGATGCCAGAGCGAAAGCTGACATGACTCTGCAGATGGCTACCTTCGGATGATGCACCTAGGGGTTTTTCTTTAAGGGAAGGTAACGCTTAATGCTAATGTTTATTTTTCCCTTGTTGCCATTTTTCAGGACTGCCAGTCCCAAAGAAGAGCCCAAAGTCGGTAAGCACTTTTCAGCTACTATTTCTGTCTGTTTGTCTGCTTTAAAGGAAAAAAAGCATGAGTTTGGCTTGTTTGCTTTCTGGGTCTCGATTGTTTCAAGTTGTCTTTCTGTTGCAACCATGATTACCTTGCACGGCTCCTGCTGCATGGGGGAGATGAGAGGGAGATGCAGTACAGAAGGGGGACTTGTTTGCCAATAAAGCCTCAGGTTTACAGATCCGCTTCCCTGACAGATGAGCTTCTCTGTCGTTTAACTTACCAAAAAAAAAAAAAAAAAAAAAAGCTATTGTTTCCTTTTGGAAAGATGGGAGGCTCCACCTTCTTGTCGGGTACCAATTCCTGTCGGGTGTTCATAGGCACTAACCTTTTCCATTAACTCAAGAAAACTGAGTTTTCTTGAGAACCCTTGGCTGAATTATTAACAGAATGGGAAAGCGTGAAAGCGTGCACCTTGTCGGGAGAGACAAAGCATGATCAGAGCATGGTTACAGTTCCCAGGGAATACAGTCAGCTGTCCGAGAGCCTGCTCTGGAGGCATTTCCGTACTGAGGAGGATTGTCCTGCAGCTATAAGATTCCTAATTTTTTAAAAAAGCAATAACAGAACAATATTTTTGTGTCCCCCCGAATGTATTTCCATGTAAAGCTGTTACCTGGAAACATCTTAGCATCTTAGCTAGCAGCCCAGAAGCTGTGATCTAAAGTATCATTAAAGCTCCATGAATGATATTATGGAAGAAATTAATGTGCTATTTGTATGCAACAAAAAACAATGTTTTATTTTTAAAGGGAATGCAATACTTAAAGCCTGAAAGTTTGCAGTTATCTGTTGAGAGTGGGGGAGAGACAAAATTATCTGCCAGGAGTGTTGGGGAAGCAAAGCAAGTGAGGTATTTGCCGTGCTGTAAGATGGTGTGAAACTTCACCAACAGTCCCTGGTGGTGCCAAAGCCTGCAGCTGGGCACAGCCCACCTCGCTGCAAACCTGGGCAAGAGGTTTAGGAAGTGGCTGAGCAGAAGGCTCTTGCTTCTAATGTGAGCTCTCTGCTCATCCAAAAAGAAAGCCCTGAAATAATTAATGTGATTCTGATGGCTTAGGGCAGCACTGATTAAAGTCATGTGAGCCCAGGCCTCTACCATTGTCAGCTCACATTAATGTTGGAAGGCAGAAGTGCGGGGTGTGCTCCTCGCAAATCACAGCCCTGCCAGCCCCTGCCCGCTCGCTGCTGTCACACACGGGGTTACTGCAGCCCTCGGTGAACCAGAAGAGAGTGTGTAAAATACAGACGTGCCTGGCACGTTTCTATTCTCTGCCTCCACTTTCTCCCCTGCTCAGAGCAGGATTGGCTGCACGCAATCTGGACTATGACTTCTGTGATTAAACCAGTCCTAATCCACAAGCCTTGGTCTTTCCAAAGCGTGGATGCTCCCACTTTGCCACACACACGTTTGGCATCAGGTGAAGCAAGATCTGGCTGTGTCAGGCACCTCTCTGGTTGACAGCTGTGCACAGTGAAAATCTGAGCAGCATGTAAATCCATGTCAGGATAATCCCACCTTGGTGAACAAAGAGGCTGCTTACAAACAGGTGTAGCTGTGCAACAGCAGATTTCTCTCTACTGTCTCTACTGACATTCTTTTGCGTGCCTCTCCCAAGCCTTTTCAGGGTTCCTTCAGTAATTTTTCCTGTGGTCCTAGGTGGTGCTGTTGTCTCTAAAGCTCAGGATTCCCAAAAAGCAGAGCCTCCCGTTCCCCTGGCTGCACACGGGGTGGTTGGCAGCGCAATTAGCAGTGATGTTGTGCTCACTGCAGCATCGTGCGGCAGCTTCACTGAGCGGCCGCTCCTTCCTCCCCGGGCATCGCTGACCTGTGCAGATTGAGCATGGAAACCTGGAGCAAAGTGCCTTGGGGCATCTGTGTGCAGTCCAGGGTGGATTTGCACCAACCCCAGAGCTCATGTGGCCAAGGTGACAGTCAGAAGCAGGGAAGTGGTGGTGTCTGACACTGCTCTTTGGTTTGTTGAAGGGCTGCTTCTCCACTGCAGGCAGCGGGGAGTCCAGCCTGACCTTCTTGGCCATGAGGATTCCCACTTACGGCAGCCAAGAGCCAGGCCTGCCCCGCTGGCACGGTCCCTGTCTGGGATACCATCTCTGAACTCTGCCCACGTGTTTACCAGGGATGCTCTGAATCCCAGGGACCTGCTGTTTGCCGCTGCACTGGCAGCGATGGGGTGAATGCGGGAGCTGCCATCAGAGCTGTGTGCCAGGGGCTGTCCCCAGCACAGCACAGCTGTGGGGCTTGGGGGGATGTGCTGCCCATTTCCCCCCTGTTCTCGGTGCACAGGGACTGTTTTCCAGCATTCCTTGTAAAATAAACCAGCTGCAGTTAGAGGACAGCACACATCGAGGCTGGGAGCAGTTGGCTTTGATCTTAACTTGTGCTTGTTTTTTGTTTCTTCTGCTGCATCAGGGAAGTCACGACTCAGGTGTCCATCCTCTCCTGCTATGCTCAGGAGATGAGCCCTCTCTCCTTCTCTCATATCCTTTCCCAAAGCCCAGACACATTCCCTACTTACTGACAGTGTCTGCTCTTCCTTAACAAGTCCTATTTTCTGTTCTCAGCCCCCAGTCCTGCATTCCCCAAAGGCCAAATTCATGCTGTTGGTACCTCCAGGCTGTGGTGAGGTGTTAAAGCTGTGGAGAGGTTTCTTGGTGCTGGGGCTGTGGCACAGCCTGGGAAGTTTTAATGCCTTGAGCTCAGTTTGCTGGGCTGTATTTGTCAGTCTGTGTGTATCTTCTGACAGACTTTGCTCTTCTCAGATATTAAGGAGAGTTTTTCAGCCTTGGTGAAAGAGCTAAATTAGTAAAAGAAAACCCTTTCCAGCCATACATGGGACTGGACATTTCCAAGTTCTTTATTCCCTTTCCCCTCACCAAGGATATGCTCCCAGCAGCTCTCTGTGCTGCTCCTTTTTTTTTTTTTTAAATTTCCCACTGATTGTTTTTTAAATAAGAACGGATAATATTTTGTATTGAACATCTAGAGATACACACTTTAAGCGTGAGAATTCTCTACTATAGCATTTTCCCCTGCAATGGTCCTGGTATGACATGGATGAAAACAAACTTTTTTTTTTTCTTTTTTTTTTCCTTGTTGCTTGCATCAAAATACTCCACAAGGGGGCAAAGATTCCTACTTCCAGTTCAGTTGTGTGTCGCTGCCAGGACCAGCTTCTCCAAAAAGCTCCACAGCACAAAATCTGCAACTAGATCATCAGAAGATGGGATCACTGCAGGGGGGATAAAATGCTAAGCTCTTCCAAAAATCTGATATTTTTCTTTTGGATTTAAATAACTGCATTGTCAGCATAGCTGACCTGTGACCAAAACTGCAATTCCTATGTACAGCTAGTCCCAGACAAGAGATTTGGCACATTTTTTTGGTGGATAAGCAGCCCTTATTGGCAGGGGCTCTGCCAATGTCCTCTTTTTGTCAGGAAGAGAAATCAGTTCTACATCGAGTCTCTACAAGACATCCCTCTTCATTCAGAGCCCAGGAGTTTGGGCAGGGCATGAGAAGCTCCAGCTTCCCATGTATTTATTTTGTCCTGGCTGTAAAGCAGTAGCAAGGTGATTATTTTATCTCATCACCTGTATTTAAGTGTGCAGTCTGCCTAAATGGACTAGAGGTAGTCACCATAGCCTTGATGTCTAGCCACATCTGGTAAAGGTCTTCGTGGTGAGCCACTGGTGCTTATCGGCAGCTCTGGAGAAGATCTCTCAACAATCCGGAGTGCTCTTACTGGCACAGGTCGTTCAGTGCCCCATGCTCTGGGTAGCTCCTGGCAGAAGTCAATACAGCTCAGGTGATCTGCTTTACTTGACACTGAAAACCACGATCAGCACCTCAGGGTGAGGTGAGAACCTCCTGCTCTGTCACCAGCCAGGCCCTGTGCTCATCTGCTGCTTTCCTGCCTGTGTGTGTGAGCTGAGCGAGCTGGGCACTAAGATTCAGACCCAGGAGGATTGGTCCTAAAGCTGGGCACAAGGGGGAGAGGGACCAGCCATCCTTCTGATGGCATTTGGTCAGCTCATCCCTCTTGGGAAAGCTCTACGTGTACCAAGACACAAACTTCATCCAAGCAGTGCCCATGGCAGGGTGGTCAGACCCCTGCAATTCCTCCTGGGTACAACATGCTGAAGCTGCTGCAACATGTGGAAAGAAGTTTGGCCCCAAACCTCTTTGGCCTCCTCTGGTGATATGAAAGTTGATAAATGTTGTCTTGAATTAATTTAATTACATGCATTCCTTATTACCATGGTTATGTTCCCCTTGCTCTGGTCCCCTCTCACACTCCCAAATAGAGATGTTTCAGGCTTTTTGATGGAGTTATTTTTGGGAAAACCACCAGTCCCACTGAAGAGGTTATCACTAATTTCTGGAAAAATACTTATTTTTTGCAATTTCAACTCTAGTTTAATTAGAGGTAGTTTTGCTTGAGATATGCTGGCACTTCCATTTGCAATCCAAATGCAAAACAGAATTCACAGTTTGTTCAAAATTTAAACCTTTTCTATCACAAAGTGAGAGCACTTTTTGAAGTCCAAACTTTGTTTCTTTTTAAATCAGAAAGCTTTCAGAGAGTTCTCATTATTTCCCTAAGGGCTGAATAAAGCTTCACATTTTAGTCCCTGTCCTCTACATTCTATAACCAGCTATTTCCAGTGAGATTGGCCTGAAGTTTCACAGGATGCTTGTAGTTATTTTAGTAGTTTGGCCAAACAAACCAATCCAGATGGCTGAACCGAGAGATGTATTTTTTTTATTTTTTTAAGTTGATTATCCCCAGCATATCTGTTTAAAAATGGCTTCATTAAAAATTGAAGGGCTACATGTGAATTAGTTTCATTTACCACTTAAAAAGCTAAAAATGTTGGAAATTGGTTCAGATATTTGTATTTGAAGGTCTGCAGATAAGTAATCACAGCAGGTAAGCTTTGTTCAAAATTGCTTTAAAGGACAAAGGCAATTTCACATTCTAGTCAATCGAGATACCCTTTAAAAAGATGCTGGTGGTGGAACAACAGCTCAAATGCAAGGCTGAGAGGTCAACATTATTTGGGCTGTTGAAGCTGGGATTTTTTTCTCAGCATAAACCTGAAGAATGTGCAACCTCACAATAATTTTACCTGGGTTTTTGAGGTTTTTTAAGACTTTCAAGGAGGGCACTTTCTTTGGTTACTTTCTCCTCTGTAGTTAATTCAGCTGCTCTGTGATGGAGCACCAACCCCAGAGCTCATGTGGCCAAGGTGACAGTCAGAAGCAGGGAAGTGGTGGTGTCTGACACTGCTCTTTGGTTTGTTGAAGGGCTGCTTCTCCACTGCAGGCAGCGGGGAGTCCAGCCTGACCAGCCTGAGTGTTGGAGCATTGGCTGCCTGGGTTCTTGTGTTCAGAGGAGGCCAAGGGCTGCCAGACCTGTGGCCAGTGATCCCCCCATGCTGATCCAGTCTGTGTCTGCTGCTGGCTTCTCTCCCTTCCCCAGCTGGGGTTCCTAGAGAGAAGTACCCGAAAGCACGGATTTCTGCTGCAATGTTTTCAGATTCCCTCTGCCAGCAGGAGGCTTAAATTTCCACCTGAGGTTTATTGGAGTGAGTAGCTGACCCTTTTTAGCTGGGAAATAGTGGATGTTGGAAAAACAACCTGTGGGATGCTGTTTTTCCAGCCACTCTCTGTGTCACAGCAGCCCTGGGAACACAGTTCCCTGTTCCAGAGCAGGTGGGAGACTGCACTCAACCTTGGTGGCAATCCAAGGTTCATCTCAAAAGAGCATTAAAAAGCATTTGCTGCACAGTGTGGGGAGCTCTCGTTGAGGATTTTGCTGCATATTGAGCAGTACAAATCCTGGCAATGCAAATGTGACCTGTGCTTCATTTGAGCACACAGTGGAGAATTTGAGTTATGAGCTGTATACCCTGCTTAGCTGAATAGCAAGCAGTCAGAACTCTTGACACACTACTTTGGAATAAGCCCTGAGTTTAGATGGATGCATTTTTTCCTGTTTTAATATACTTAATTAAAACAGACCAAACTTCAAATAGACATTTTCACATCTGTTAAGGTCTGCAGAAGTCCCTTGAATGCTCTGGGGAGCAGAGCCATTAAAGAGGCACTCTGTTGTCCACACACTTGTAACGTGGGGAGTTGCAAGAGTTGCAGAGAGAAAGTGATCTTGCATAGTAAGGGCTGTGCTTGAATCTGTCTCAGAGGGACAGTCTGAGTTTTCACAGTAAAATCTGGTAGTTCTTCCATTTTCTTTCAGGCTCAAGTTAGACCCAAATGTTATCTGAATAGAAGGTTGTTGAGATTTTCTGCCTTAACTCAGAAAAAAATAAGTGCGCTGAAACTAGTAACCTGTAATGAGATTTAGATCTGTCTTATTGTGAGTTGGAAAAGTGTTTTTTTAAATGATAAATTACTTTGTTTATCTCTTTCTGTCAGTCTGCCTATCAGAATATGTCACCAGGTAATTTAACTGTACCCAGCATTAACTGGGTAGCAGCAAAACTGTGACTTACACATTTACTTATGTGCACGCAGAAAAGCCTGATCAAAGAAGAGAGAAAAATTGATGGAAAACACCCACTCAGCGACCAATAACCGTCTGTTCTCTCCCTTTCCACTCGCTCTCTTCCTTACAGCAACCACTTGAAAGGAAAGACAGCCAAAACAGTTCCCAGCAGAGCGTCTCGAGCCACCGCAGCGGGCACACCGCGTCCCCCGCGCACAGCACCCAGGTGCTGCCAGACTACGCCGCCCCGGAGGCGCCGGCCGCCGACCAGCCGGACACTTCTGGCCAGAAAAAGCCAGATCCATTCAAAATCTGGGCCCAGTCCAGGAGCATGTATGAAAGCCGACGTGAGTATGAAGCAGGTGTAGTTGCTAAGGCTACGGCTCCAGCAGCTGCTCCCTGTGTATTTTCTTTGCAAAGAGCTGAATCTTTAAGGTTTCTGCTGGAAATGTAAGGCTTCCGCTGGTTAATTTGATATCTGTCAATGAGATCCACTTGGTAGAGCTGCAGTTTGCTCTCTCATGAGGATTGGATTTAGATCGTCTCTAGGAAAGGGCACTTAGACCAAAGCTTAATATGAAAAATCCCTTTAAAACTGAAGACTGTGTTTTCCCCTATATTTTTATTGTGCTTTTAAATTAGGCTGGAGGAGAATTTTCAAGTTTGCTATCCAGATCCTAAACTCTTTTTTGAGGTTAAGACTCATTATCTGATATGTATAGGAATTTTAGTAAGGAGGGGAAGTATTTAGTTTGCTGAAATTCATATCAGATGCTTTTCAGCCTCCCTCTGGGGAGGAGAAAATCCAGCTGAGCCATTTTACTTTGACCAGAGTGGACACTTTAACAATACAGATATTAAATGCATATTGTAAGTGGCTTTTATGGCAATTAATAATCTGCACACTTGGCTAATAATTCAGCAGGGTTTTGACTCTGTTCCAAGACTGTAAATGTGGTTTCAATCAGTTTCTTCTCAGGGAAACAAAATAAACACATTGGCTTTGCTTTAATTGCGCTTCTGAAGATGATCAAATCTGTAAAAGCTTCTTAAAGAGTTAGAGCATTAGGTTCATTTTGAAAGGCAGCAGTTACTTTAGTTACAGAAAAGGAAGTTTCAAAGTCTTAGTGCTCTGAGAGTATCACCTGCAGTTTGACTTTATTGTGCTAGCTGGAAATTGGTGAAACCAGTAAGAAATTAACCGTTACCTCAGAATGAAAAATGGTAGGACTTTTTTTTACTGACCAAATGAATCACTTTGAAGTCTTCTATCCTGGAAAAATTAAATCATGAGTCACAGTTTCTTGGCTGAAGATGCATCTCTTTGGATTGAATGTCTGAGCAATGCAGTTTGTAGGTGTCTCTGCTTTTGTGCACTGCTTCCCTTCCCATCCTTTCCTTGGGATTAGGTGTACTGACCCTGGAAGCTCTCGGGCCAGAGAAGTCTCGGTCCTGGCTGATCTGCAGAGTGCAGTGACAACTTGTACGTGCAGCTCATTGAAATAGGAAAAAGGGGTGAGAGCTGAGGGACAGCAGCTCCTGAGCCCTGCAGAGCTGTGGGCAGAGCTCCTCCTTCTCCTGCCTGGGTGGACACGTGTCCCATGGCACTGGCCTTCCTGCTGCCCAGCCCGTGTGATTCCCATTGCCACTGTGCTGCCATTGCCTCTGGCCCCCTGCAGCTACTTAGCTAATTTCTAATTAACTGTTTAACTCATGCTAATAAGTCATTAGTATCAGCTTAGCAGCCTTAACTCCTGCCTGTCTTTCCTGATAAAACCCAAGACTGAGCTGGGGAAACCCTGAAGTGCACAGGCAGGCAGTCGCCCTTCTGTGTCACCTCCAACACCATGTGCTAAATCCTCCCTCTTTCCTTGATGGCTGCAGTTATCCTGTAGAGCTTTTGTCCTTGGCTGGGACTAGAGCCCTTCCAGGGGTCTTTTCACAATCTCTTGACCTGCTGGTTTCCCACCCTGTGCCACAATCCTCACTGCTTGGGCCTGTTGCTAGACAGGGATCTGCTGCACCCCTTCAGCTTCCCTGTCTCACCTCTCCATAGTCCAGCATCTCTGTAGTGGGGCTGATCCTCTTCTACTGCTTCAGTCCTTGTCTCCTGCCTCTTCTACCAGATAAGACCTGTTTGAACATCAGTGACCTTTTCATCCCGTTGCTGTTCCCTTCCAGAAGGTGTTTCTGAGATTTCTTGGTTTCATTGATAGGGTTTTTTGGAGAATGGTGGAAGTGTGATATGGTCATATCTCCTTTTAAACCATTAGAAGTGTCTAAGAGCCTATGAATTTCCAGCCCTAAGCTTGAGTGAAACACATTCCCTGGGGATTAACCTGCACTCTTAGCTGGTGACATGGCTTTGCTGTGGGTAATGAAATGTGAAGAAAAGCAGGAAAGATAAGTGAAAAATTGAGTTGGATGTTCTCTGTCTACTTTCATGGTCTAATCCCAAAGCATGACTGGTGGTTTTACTTCGAGGTCAGTGGTAATCTCCTCCTTCCCTCACCAAACCCTTATTTATCACCAGTCTCATAAGCAGAGTCTGTGGTTCACAGCTGAAACCTGGCTCTGCTGCCCTGGGGGCTTGGGGTAAAGCCCTGTGTTTCTTTCCCTTTGTTATGGACCTGAACCATCCCTTTGAGGCTCATTCCCAGTGTTGCCAAGCGTGGTCATTTGTAGGGACCTCTGCTGACACTGAGCATCAGAGTGTGATGGGATAAACCATTCCCTGGGGACTCCAGTTTCACTGGCAGCTCCACCTGTGCTGTTCTTTGTGTTTTTACCCAGCTGCACTCCAGTACCACCTTTGGCTGGTGGGGAAATGTCTTCTCTTTCTCCTTTACTTGAGCACCCATTCCCTCAGGCTTTGGGACTGTCACCTCCAATGACATCCTCAGCTTTGGGTGCTGTCTCTCTGCAGCCTTCTGATGGAGGTGTGAGCAGAACTAAGTGAATATCTTATGCATAGCAGGAGGATGTCACCCTAGTGCCAGCACTGAGGGTGGGTGACACATCCAGTTACCAGGGAATTGGGTGAGTTCTAGAAGGCTCCACTACCTGAGGAGCCCCAGCACAGCTCTTCTGCCGCTCAGGCCAGGGCTTGTCCTCTGTTACTGGCCTTAAATTTTAAAAAGCCTGGAAAGGGTTATGAAATGTTCTTTTGAGAGACAGGGTTTTGAATCCTCAACAAGTGGACTGAAAAAACAGCAACAAGCCTTTGTGTTGAAGTATATGATGAATTTAAAAAGGACAGAATTTTAGAGCATTAGGTCATATTAAGTGTTTTATTTTTCCCATTTTTGAAATTGTTGAACATAAAAAGAGCATAGTGCAATTTTTCAAGTGCAGTTGACACAAGAAGATGAATTCATGAGCTCCAGCCCAGACAGATTATTTTTTATCTAAAAATAATATTGAAAAGAGGTTTTATTCAATAAATGAATTCCTCTTCTCCAAGATATTTCTAAGAAGTACTGAATCTGTAATGAATACCTACTGCCTTTTTCTCTGGGAGCGCATCCCACTGTTACTTACATTAATAATAAGAATGTAGACACAGAAAGCAAAGGCAGCGTTTGAATTTTTCAGAATTTGTAAAATTCCTTCCTCCTCTTCTTGAGCTGTCTTTGGATGAGTATTTCATTAAAAAAAAGACTGTATTTGCCTTATGTGACCTGTCTCACTGAAGTCATTGGTAGAGCACAATTAGGTTGAAAAGCACCAGCTAACCCATAATTGTGTAAAAGCATGTGTTTCTATGATTTACCCAATGCATCTTAATACCAGAAAGTGCTCCAATTCTGCGGGGGAGAGCCACAGATGTTGCTTGTTTAGGGGAAGAAAAAAAAAAGAATAAAAATTAAGCTAGAATTAGTAATGCAAAGCTAAGCAAAGGCTCCATCATTGTTTCAGGACTCTGGTTGAGGGGAAGCAGATTAGAACTGCAACTTTATTCCACAAATGCGGGTTAAAGTTCCTTCATGTGGAGCTCCCCGGGGTGAGGGGATCAGCCCTGCAAGGTGCTGAGTGTTTGGGCTCGGGTCCAAGGGAGCTTATTTCCAGGCTGTAAACCCAAAGGTATGCTTTAAGGCTCAGGCTGAGCTCAGATGCCGTGCTGCAATCTGGCCCAGAGTCACCAGTGTTTGCCGGGTTAAGGCGTTTGAGAATAGCCAGCTTTGTGCGGATGTGAAAACAGCATTTGGTGGTGGTAACAAATGCACTCTTCGCTGGTGCTGAGCTTTAGCTGCCTGAGCTCCTCATTATGGGTAACTCATTGCTGCTCGTGGGAGTTGTGTACATGAATCAGAGAGAAGGACAAAACCCTTAAGGTTTGAAAGCTGAAGCAGTTCCAAGATCCAGGAATGACACACTTGAAGAGCACTTCTCAGAGAGAGAAACAGCAATTGAATGGCTTAGCAGAGAACCACAATTCGGAAACCTCGCACTCTTTTATTGAAATATATTTTTATAATATGCTTTTTGCTTTTCAATGTATTATTAAACTTCCTTAAAGATTAACACAATCTGTTGTCAAATTTTTCTCATGTGGCCTGATTGCTTTGCAAAATACTGTATCCTACATATGGCCATCTGTCAAAACAGCAGTGACAAAATGAATTAATCTGAATTGCAGATGTGTTAATGAATCCCTTTGAAGGGCTTAAGCATTTAATTAAAAGTAAAGCAGAACAAGATAGAGAATTTTTAAAGCTTTTAAAATATTCGAAGTTATCATTAATATTTGAATTTTATTTTCAGGCACACAATTTGTTTGTGAGGATTTTTCTCTCCCCAAATCTAATTAAAATAATACAAACAAGTCTTGACCCTAGCGTGTTCGCTCATCGGCAGTTACATAGAACTAAAAATATTTGTACAATAACACAAACATTAGATACTTTTCCCTTAAAATAGAAAATACTCTCCTAAAATTGCAGCCAGCTTCTGATCAGACTGAGTTGAAAGATTATGTTTAGTAAAAGCCCTTTGGAAGGGTTATGTCCTTTTATTATATTAATAGTAGACAAACAGTTGCAGTGATACTCTGGGGCTCACAGATGTATCCATGCCCTTGGAGAATGTGTTGCTAAAAGGGACCGTGGTACTCCCAGCACATCGCGTGAGCTTGTTCATCTTGTCAAGAGCTCCTGCTGAAGCTGTCTTTCAAAAGCTTTCCATGCCACCACAAAGGCTTGGTTAAAAGAAAAAGAGAAAAAAAAATTGAATTTTCCTGCAGTGGGATAGTTTAGAAAATGGATTTATTGCAAATATGGAGCCTTATGAGATCTGTGGCTAAATTTCAGGACTTTTCAACTCTGAAACTCTGCAACAGCTTCAGTGAGACTGTCCACTCCTAATTTCAGACTTGTCCTCATATACTTTGCTGAATCTGGGCCTTAAACATTTCGTGCTTTGCCAAGCTATGAGTCACTGAAAGTGCTGCTGCCTGAAATGAGCCAGTGACTAAAGCAAACTCACACTGATCATTCTTGAATCCATCTTATGTTGAAACTGATGTCACATTAGGCAGATTTTTATTTTATATAACATATTAAAGTTGGCATAGTAAAGTTTGATTAATATGATCTGTAATTAAGCATTATGTTCATTGTTCATCACCATGTATTTAGAATTTCTTTTAACATTAGGCAAAGATATTTCCATTTGGAAAACTAACTCATGTCATGATGTTGAAAGGTTTTTTGTAGAAAAGTATATTTGTATTCTCACAAAAAATTTTTCCTCTAAGGACAAACAAGGTTTTTAAAATATACCTGCATGCATGTGCATAAATGTGTAAATTCATATGTGTGTGTATTTTATATCCACATGTGCACAGACATGTGCAGAGAGATGTGAAACTTAGTATGTCATAATCCATAGTAGCTATAACCTTAACAAATTGTGCATGCAAGCCTAACATGACCCTTAAAGTCACAATTAATTAAATGAACTAACAAGAAAGCAGATACATTAAGCTTTGCAAAATTGTAAAATTAATATTACAGCTATGTCACCTTCACCTGCAACTGGACTGAGCAAGGGTGAGAGAGAGAGAGAAATCAATTCCACGAGTTTTGGAGAATGTAAGACTGTGCTGAGAATGTATCTGTGTCTTGTGATGTCTTGTTCTGGTGTTGTTGCTGCTCTGTGGTGGGGGGCTCTGCATCACCAGGGGAGTCTGGCAGGGCTGGCAGGGCCATATTCCAGGTTTAGCCACCGAGGGGCAAAGCCCGGCTTTGCTGTCCTGGCTGGAGGGTGTAGGCATCTGGGGGCGGGTGTGTCGTGTTTCTGTTTCCTTCATGAGTTTGCCCCTGTGTCTCATCAACAGGACTGCATCACCCACCTCTCCTGCCATTCACAGAACTCCTCTTACCACTTTGGCACTGCTCTCCAAATGGTCTGGTTTCATTTGGGACGAGCACACTGCTGTTAAATTTTACGCATTTGGGCTACATACATGTTTTATCAGTCAGACATGCTTGAGATCAGTCAAGGTGCAAGGTTGCAGTGAATGACTCCTAAAGGCCATTTTTCATTCATTTTCAACAAAGTTTCAGCAGCGCCATGTTCCCTTTGAGTAAGGAAAGTGGCTCCTCTGAAGTCCAACTGAATAATGGGAGAACCTAAAATAATTCTCCAGTATTGAACCACAGAGGGTCTCACCTCTGAAGCTTGGGGGTGAGTGGGTGTTCTGAGCTGTGCCAGTGAATCACTGCCCTGCAGAGCTGCTGCAAGAAGTGGTAAAAGGAGTTTTCATTCTGTGTAAAGGTGTGTTGTCTGTATTCTGTTGTATCTGTGTTCCACCTCGCTGAAATCCTCACAGTGGGAGAAGCGCTGTGTGAAAGAGCTGGCTTCTTTTGGGAGCAGACCTGTCTTTTTTGGTTGCTTTGGTCTGACATGGCTGGTCCAGCCTGGCCTGCTGTTCCCTCCAGTGGCGTTAATTGTGTAGCTGGGACCCAAACCAGGGCCATACAGCACCGCTCAGTGAGACTGGAGGGGTGACAAATGGGAAGGTGTTGAGAGACGCCGAGGACACGGGCCCACGCCCGAGCTCTCTGCAGAAGCCGCTTTACCTCTGACAGATCCAGCACACACTATTAATTGTTTGGGGCCAGCCTTTGCCAAAACAGCCTGCAAAGGGCTGAGAGACACTCCTGACTGTGTCTGCTTGTCACGCTCCCCTTGCTGAAGGCAGTGACAAACAGCAATTAATTCATTGTCTGGATTCTGTTGTGCTGCACGTCTGTGCGTGGCGAGCTGCCTTCAGCCAGAGGAGATGAGCCACACAGGCACCCGGCATGTTCATCACCCCAGCGCTCTGTAATTGTGTCTAGACAAAAATCAGGCTCTAATTCAGTGAGGGCACGGGTGTTAAGTGTAGCTTATAATTGCAGGTAATTAAAATGTAAAAATATTTTCTGTAAAGCCAGCTTAAATGAAGTGTCGAAGCAGACGTCTGTACTTTACCATTCACCTCCTATTCGTTTAATTTTTAGTATTCCCAGTCCTTCAATGCATGTCATATTTTAACTCATTGAAGAGAGACCTTCAGAGGTAACCAAAAGTCTTAACACTGACAAGCACCAGAGCAGACCCAAATTTTTGCACAATAAGCACAGACAGTGTAAAATCCAATTAGGGCCCAATCTGACATCCACTGATGCCAGTGGAAAACAACCTGTTCACAGATACAGAAAACTAGATGATGTTTCATTAAACGTGCTGCATCTGGTGTCTGAGTAGGCACTTACTTAAATTGGATTCCTGAGCTATATACTTGGGTTTCTTTGCTGAAGTTATAGGCAGCTGACTGGTAAAGCAACAGCTTTTTATTATCATTAATTATAAATTTTGGGAGGGGATCATTACAAAATTAGTCAATGTTATAGATACTATCCAATAAATATTAAATGAACCTGAAGTTGTCTTCTGATATGATATAATGTTAGCAATTAGTCTTGCATTTTTAAAAAAGGGATGAAAGCAAGCATGAGTAAGTTAATATAAAACATTGCTGTTCAACAGCGCTTCAAGGTTAGTACTTCACTGTATGTAATATTCATTGTAAAAACCTTGCTGGTGTTCCATACTAATGAGTAGGTGAGGTTGGGTTTTTTTATGTTTCCAGCTGGTTTTATCTCTTCAGTGCTTTTGCAGAGCCTGCACACAAGCCAGTGAGGAGAGCTGCATTGTTTTGAGTGGAGCCTGTCTGATTTACACCACCTGGGGATCTGTCCCATAGTTATTTAAAGAAGAGTTGGTAGACAGGTAGCAAACTATGCTTGGGAAAGTTAATTAAACAGTAGAAGTCATAACAACTGGCTCTTCTGTCTCCCATGAAAGAGGAGGCAGCTGTATTGTTTCTGGCAGAATAATTCTCTGCTGTACACATTTATTTATTGATGGCTTGGAAGAGGCTCTTGCACTGGGTAATGATGCTAATATTGACAGAAGGAAATATTATAGTGATAAATAAAGGGAAAGTCACAATTAGATACCTAGAAAGTGGAAACCACTGCATAACTTTTAATAGTGATTTAAATAATGATCCTTTAGTATTTAAAACTATAAGTGTTGATAGTTATATCTCTGTTTTAATGTAAAAATGAGTTTGTCTCCAACCTTATTTAAAGGTTAAAATTGCATAGCGTATCCTTTTATATACATCTGAGTAGTCCTGATTTGGGTAAAAAGATGTGATGTTTTGGTTAAAAATGATAGTTTTTCTTCTTTCCCTTCAGTTCCAGATTATCAAGAGCAGGATATCTTTCTATGGAGAAAGGAAACAGGGTTTGGATTTAGGATTCTAGGTGGAAATGAGCCTGGAGAACCTGTAAGTATCATGTGTTGGTTTGTGACATCTTTCAGAAACACAGCAATAGAATGTGCAGATGTGCAGAACTATTTTAGCATCACTACTAAAATAGTTAGTGGACTATATATATCCTCATCTCCCCACCCTCCCTCCAAATTAACCCCACTACTCCATAGCTGAAATGGGTTTGGCTTTTCCTTCTACTTTAATGGTAAACCAAATGAAAACATAGGTCGTTGGACACTGAGGGCAGGATGTCCTGGTCATGTTTGCAAGTATTTTGATCTTAGGATGCCAGGTTCTCAGATCTCAGAATGCTCAGTTCTCTCCTTGAATTCAGTTAATCTCTTTACCATAAATCCAGTGCCTGTGGGAGGTGTCATCCTTTCCTGTGCTGCACAGGTCACAGCTAGATGGTGGCAGCATGAATTTCCATGTTTTCCCATGCCAAAATTATTTTGCTCATTTATGGGAAGAGAGACCATGAATTTGTCTCATGCTAGAGTAACTCCACAGAACTCACTGAAGATAAACCAAGACTGAGTTGGTGGACAAGTGTGTGGTGCAGAGCTTGTAAACCCTGCAGGCAACTGAAAGGGTAACTCAATCTCAGCTTCCCTGACAAGACCCTCAGTGCTTTTAACCATCTTCTGTCTGGTCACTGTCTCGTTGAACACATTTCCCAAGGCTGTCTATCCCTAGAGCGAGTGGACTGCCTAAAGAAACAAGATATCAATTTATTACAATTCCACAATGTGCTGTAGTCACATAGAGCCACTTTCACAGGAGCAGCTTTCCTGACCAGCAGACATTTGTCAACGATTCTTTGTCCCTACTAAATTGGGTCTAACTCCGAGTGCCCCTTGCTTCCAGCTGGCTGTTGAGCTGCTTCTCATTTATCTCTCTCCTTCTGTGCTAATTCCTCAGATTTACATCGGTCACATTGTACCGCTGGGTGCTGCTGACGCCGACGGCCGCCTGCGATCGGGTGATGAACTGATCTGTGTGGATGGGACGCCTGTGGTGGGGAAATCACACCAGCTTGTGGTCCAGCTTATGCAACAGGCGGCCAAACAAGGTCATGTCAATCTGACCGTCAGGCGCAAAGTGGTTTACACAGGTAGGCTGCAGTATCACCCTGCAGGGGTAGGTTTTCTTGCCAGGATCCCATCTGTTCAGCAAATGGTCTAAGGGAAAAAAAAAACTTCTAGTGCTGGGAAAACTCAAGGGATGTACTGTTGTTTTTCCTCTTTTGCCTGTTTTCAGTATTTTTTGTTCCTGATCAAATAAGTATTTTTTTTCCCAGTCAAGACTTTCTTAGTTGGCTTTCCCAGTCTTTATAAGGGTGCTGATAAAATGGGGAACTGTTCACTTGCAATATTTAATTTTTAGTTCAATTTATGCAGCAAACATACAGTATGGCTGACTGCTTGTATTTTCTGTATACTTCCCAAAATGAATGTGTCCTTAAACTGGGAGTGAGGGAGAAGATGATCAAGAGTCCACAGAAGGGGGATGAAAGGGCAGAGAAGCCAGTGAGGGCTCTGGTGTGTGGTGGCTGCTGTCCCAGGCTCAGGGAATCTTCAACGTGTCAAATAGTCAAATGACCTCAGGATGGGAAACTGTAAACGTTGGTTCTGGTGGGCCAGGGCGTGTGTGTTTGTTGTCACAGGATCATAGAATGGCTTGGGCTGAAAGGGACCTTAAAGATCAACCATTTTCAACCCTTCTGCCATGGGGAGAGACACCTTCCACTAGACCAGGCTGCACAGATCTAGATAGAGAGTTCTCTGTATGCTGAGTTATGTCCGGCATTGTGCACACACTGCACAAGTGTAGGATCTAAATGAACAAAAAAGAAGGTGGCAGAAAGACAAAGATGCAAAGAGAAGTGACATTGCCTGGTACCATTTTGGCACACAGATAAGTGATTGAAAAATGTCATGATAGCAGAGAATATGAAGACACAAGCATGAGCTTTCTAAATAACATGTGGCCTTTTGTTTAATATTGGAGAGTAACTTTTGAGTGCTGCCTCTCCCTTTGAGTACCTTTAGGAACTGAGGTGTGGGATTTGCTTTAACTCTGTCAAAAAAAGAGGATATTATATAGCTTTTCAAGTGTAGGCATCATCAGATAAAATAGGCAGTGATGTGGTTTGATCTTAGAGAGAATCAAAATAACATTCATTGGAAATTAGGTCCTCGGTGGAAGTTAAGACTAGAAGAGTACCTCTAAAATAGCTCTGTGTTCTTATCCAGGCCTGAGCTCCTTCTGCACAATAATAAATAAATGTTCACTTCTCATTTCTTTCCTTCTTCCCAGTGTGGATTAAATGCCAGGTTATGGCTCTCCTCTGACAACCTCTCTTTAGCTCCTGACCAAGGTCTGGTGTGAGAGAAGCTTTAGAAGAGCATTGGGAGGAAGGGGAAGGGCAGCTGAATTTTGGTATTGTTTTTGTGTGTAGATTTTCTATGCAGTTTTACAGCCTCCAGGCTGGAAATTACCATGAAAGATTTAGATGCATGAGATCTCTCTTGATATTTCATTCAGAGGCATGTTACTGCAGATCGAGCTATTTCTGAATCATTGCAAATGTGGACACTTACTCTAGGATAAATTATTCAGAATCCCTTCTTTCCCCTTATATTTGCAAGCTTTTAAATTTCAGCATAACTTTGTAGAGAAGGCTGTTCCTGAATTTTGGTCCCTTGTTCCTTCTGTCATCTGTATGCCAGTAGAAAAAGATAGTTCACCTAAATGAGTACTCTCGGTCCTGAGATTCATTTAGGGGGAATTTTATGCTCCTGTATTCTTAATAAGAAGAATGCTATGTATTTAGTACATTCTTTTGAGTATGTAAGTGCAGACAGGACTTCTATCCAAGGATATTTTAAAGTCCTTTTTTTTTTTGCATCATGATTTTACAGGTTTAAATTTTGTTTGCCATCCATTTTCTTGCTGATGCTTTTAAGATCTTCAGCTTAATTTTGATCCACTAAATTGGTGAAGTGACCTGATTAGCAGAGGCAGCCATTCAGCAAGGACAAGTGCAATATGCTGCACAAATGGACTGCACAGAACAGGCTGAGTAACAAGAAGTGGAAGCTGTTGTGGGCCACGAGCTTTGTGTTGAGGTTGGTTCAGGTGAAGAAAAAGACTGCAGGGCTGTAGGCAGGGGGGAACTCTCCTGATTTCCCAGCAGATGATGGCTTAGTGCAATATGGTCCAGCACTTCAAGAAAGACATAGTTGAGTTGGAGAGAGCCCAAGTGGAGGGAGTCCAGAAGACCAGGGAAAATAAGGAGAGCTCTACAAAACATGGTCTGAAAGGAAATATTGAACAAATTTGGATTCTTTAGCTTAAAGCAGAGGAGGTATTAAACTCCCCGAGATTATAAGAGGCTGCTGCGAAGAGGAAGGGAATAATATGTTCTCCATATGCCTGTTAGATAGCACTAGAAATAATAGCCTTATGTAGCAGCAGGGAAGATTTAAGTCAGATATCACAACCAATAGATTGCCTGGGGAGATATTTAACAGCTGATTAGACAAACATCTGTCAGGACTGATATTAGGTGTAGTTGGCCCTCACTCGAGCAGAGTCTAGACTGAGCAATTTTTTTGAGATTTCTTCAAGCCTTGTGGCAGCTGATTAGATTTAAACTAATACTCCTTCCAACTTCAGTTGCTGTTAAACACTTGTTTATTATTAATGTTAACAATATTTAATATCTGTACCAGACTGTACAGATCATAGTTGCTGGTTCTTCAGTCCAGAAGTGTATGGTTCACAAGTTGTTTTGCTCATGTAGAGAGATTATTATTATTACTAAAGATCCCATTAATCAAAGGCAGACAGTGCACTAATTGATAGCTTTCAGTTTAAAACTACACAAAAGATGTTGTTGGGAGATATTACTGCCTGTCCTTGTGGCTTGTGCATATATATGTACATATGGTTGAACGTGTATGACTGAAGTGGGGATGCAATAGCTAGAGGAGACACCTTTGAACTGGTGTAATACAGGTTTAAAATGCTCCAGAGCATCCAAGCACACAGCACTGCAGTGGTTTAAGCAGGCTGCAGTTAGACAGTGGCTGAATATATCCTTGGATAGAAGTCCTGTCTGCACACAGTTGAGGGTGAGCGTGTGCGGGCAGTGCCGCCACTGAGCAGAGCTGTTGGTGGTGACATCTGAAAGCATGGCCATGGTATAACAGACCAAAGCAGGTGATTTTCTTCCACCCTTCTCTCAGTAGACAGCTGTTTCCAAGCACTAAATGGCGCAGCCTGCTTGAAGTCTTTTTTTCTCCCGTCCCCAGTTCCCAAGGCAGAGAACGAAGTCCCATCCCCGGCCTCCTCCCACCACAGCAGCAACCAGCCGGCCTCGCTGACGGAGGAGAAGCGAACGCCGCAGGGCAGCCAGAACTCGCTCAACACGGTCAGCTCGGGCAGCGGCAGCACCAGCGGCATCGGCAGCGGCGGTGGCGGGGGCAGCGGGGTGGTCAGCACCGTGGTGCAGCCCTACGACGTGGAAATCCGCCGCGGAGAGAACGAGGGCTTCGGCTTCGTCATCGTCTCGTCGGTGAGCAGGCCCGAGGCAGGGACGACGTTCGGTGAGTCCTGCGCGTTTTTAATTGCACCTCAAGCGAGACGCAAGGCTTGCAGCCCGAGGAAGCGAGTGGGGATCTGTTTAATTAAAAGTCATGAGCGTGCCCCAATTTATGTAATTAATAGTTCAATCAGAGGCAAAGACTTGGTAGGTGTTTGCCTCCTGGGTTTTGTTTGTCACTGAGTTGAGAAAAGCGAAATAAGAAATCCCAACCTGAAGAGCTAAAGTGCCACCAATGGCAGCTCCTGATGCTCACTTTCTGGGAGAGCCTCTCTGGGGTTTGGTCTCAGAGGAGCAGCTGGCAATCCTCCCAGTGATGCCATTTGCCCATGCAGAAATGTAGCAGGTGGAATGAAATATGTCTTGTGATGGTGGAATAAAGCCAGTTGATTTAAAAGCAGTAATGCTTAAACTGATTAACTCCTCTTTGGCAATCAGTGTTATTCTGATCATCATTATGTTGTGAGCATGCTGGAAAGTTTTAATTAATAGTGCTTGCTGGTGAGACATAAAATGGGGAACACTGTTAAAAGAACAGGATTTTTTTTTTATCCATTTCACCTCTTCGCAAATGCATTTCTTCCGAGTAGGAAGAAATTAACTTTAAGCTATGTCACATGTAATATCCTGACCTAATAGAGGTGGTCCTGGTTTCTGTCTGAAGACAGTCTTTCTGCTAGGCAGACACCCGTTTCCAGGGGTTGCTGCAGAGATGTACATCAGCTGGTTTTGCAAATATGCCCAGAACAGCCTGTTCTCAAGCAGAAGTGTCATTACAAGGAGGAAGCCAGTCAGAGATGCTATTTCCTTCCCTTTCCATCTCCTCCAAAATGAGGCCGGATGCAGCATCCACTTGTACTTTGTAAAGGAAGGTGTTCCCTTAGTCTGTGGTACGTGATAGGGGTGGAAGGAAAGGAAGGGCAGAGCACTTCCTTGGCCATCTTCACAGCAGTGCTGTGATCTGCAGAGAAAACATTTTGCAGCTTTTGCAGCTCCCTGTGCAGCTTGAGTGCTCCTGGGGCACGCAGGTGAAGGAAGTGGCTTTTCCCTCATTCTCCTAGGCTTTATTTTTGACATTTCTTGCCATTGTCCATCAGTGGCACCCCTAGTCGAGGGAGCACCAGCTCCTTTGCTGGTGTTGATGTAGAACAGGCCATTTCTAGCAGAGATGTGGGTTGTCTGGCAGCAGAGATTTCAAGGGGGAAACGTGTGGTATAAAACTAGTGTGTTGAGTTCTGTCAGTTCTCAGGTTCTAGGCTCTCTCACACTCTCCTTGGTGCTGAAAACTGCTCTTCCAAGATAGGTGTTTTGGTGCATTACACAGTGGTGTAATGTAAAACAGATTAAACTGAACACAGTCTAGAACAGAGGGTGTGCTTTTATCTTCTGAACAGATTTGCAAATGTGTGTAAATAACTTTTTACTGTATGAAGACTATGCTGTAACTCTTCTCTGCAGAGAAACCTTGACCTGAGGTTGTAAAAAGTTGTGTTTGCTTTAGCCAAAAATACTTGCTAACTGGAAGTTTTCTATGCAGGGGCTCCCAAGGAGATCTGTTGATCTGTGACTGTTTTTCCTTTAATTTTTTCAAGTATATTCAGTTTTTTCCTAACACTCCGCATGAGATGTGTTCCCTCTGCTGTCTGGTGCTTGCTCTGGACCTGCTTTGTAGTTTATTTATTTTATGGGTAGCATTTAGAGATGGGCCAAACTGGTTCTAAAACCCACCTTGGTCACTTTGGTGTGAGCTCTATCGTCTGTGTTAGTGGACTGGATAGAGTAGAAACTCATATCCTCAAAACAGCCTGCAAACTGGATGGGGTTTTGTATTACCAGAAAGAGAAACTTTCTAACATCATGGCAAAATAAAAAAAAAAAGAAGGAAATCTCCCTAATGTTTGTAACTAATATTAACACTTTCTGCCAGTTTTCATTGCATCTTTCCAGCCTCACATGTCCTTGTCTTAGCCTTTTCTTCTTTATGGTCTTTCTAGTGTTGTCATGTGTGTGTATATCTCTAAAACTACTAATCAAATGGAGACTGCAGCAGAAATGGGAAAGTGCATCTTGAGGGTGAATGTATTGTGGATGCAAAGTGCAAGATGACCACTGTGTGTACCCCATGGCTTTAACCATGTGCTGTGTGCCCCAAGGCCTCTTGCCCACGTAAAGGAGCTGTAAGAAAGCTCACTGGATTTCTCTGAGTGATGTTGTGTATCCCCTGTGTCCCAATTCTGCATGTTGTGGACAGCCCAGTGTTTTTGAAACAAAACAACTGCATGGAGCAGGAGGAGAATTTTGTCTCCAGAACACATTCATCCTAAAGTGCTCTTGCTCTGTGTGTCAGACATCCCAATGGTTTTGTGTGTGGTTTTAGAGGTATTTGAATGAGGAGAACCTTATTCCTTCTTTGTTCTCACCTGGTGCCATCTAAGATCATAAAAGAGGAAGGGTTAGTAGAGGCTGAAGAGGCACCAAACAGGTTTCCTTTGTCAGTCTTGGCCCATCTGTAGTGGTCCTGTGCCTTCCCTGGTAGTACCTTTATTCCCAATGGAAGAAAAATGTTTCATGTTGCTTCCCCATGCAGCGCTGATAGAGTGGGTCTGTGTGGTAGAAAGGGAGCCACACTCCCTCCTAGGCCTAGAATGATTTTATCTTTCTAAATTGAGAAAGAACAAAACATTGGCAGAAGCTTGAACAGCAGTTGGCTTAGGGAAGGACTAGAGAGGCTGACATTGATGTAATCTTGGAGGAGAAAAGTTGAGTTTTCTACAAACAGTTTCAATTTTTTTCTTCAAAAACAAAATCAGATTTGGGTTACAATGGAGCTGCTGAGTGCAGTTGTTGTCAATAAAAATTGCACCATTTATTAGCAGAAATCCACTTGGGGGGATTTTTGAGGGATTAACAAAACACCTTTTTGTGGAAGAAATTAAGTGTTGTGCACTCAACTAGTTGATTGCCAATGTTTTGAACACTGGCAGCAAAGCTATCCTATAATAACTTTTGCTTGATGCATTAATTAATTAACCCTTAACCTTCTCTTTCCCTTTTCAACCCTTTTTTTCCTTTTCCCCTTCACCATATTCCCACATACGTAAACAATAAAAAAAAAAAAAAACCAAAACCAAACCAAAACAAAAACAACCCCCAAACCAATACAAAAGCGGGAAATGCATGTGTGGCCATGCCTCACAAAATAGGTCGGATAATTGAAGGGAGCCCCGCAGACCGCTGTGGAAAGCTGAAAGTAGGCGACCGGATCTTGGCCGTCAATGGGTGCTCCATCACCAACAAGTCGCACTCAGACATCGTCAACCTCATTAAGGAAGCGGGAAACACCGTCACCCTGCGCATCATTCCAGGAGATGGTAAAGTATCTGATTCCTGCTGTCTTACCTGACCCCCTTCTTGGTTCTGTTCCCTGGGCTTTTTCTGTCACTTGGAGCTGCCAAGCCATGGAGGACTCGATTTCCGCTCCCACTTTGGGAGTTAGCGGTGAGGGAGGTTGTGAGTCTCCCATAGCTTTATTTTTTGATTCTTTTTGTAGAGATGGCTGGTTTTTAACAGGGAGGTGCTAATTCAATATAAAAAAATAAAAATAAAACAAATAATATTGCATTCCATGTATTAAAATGATTCCATGTATTAAAATGATATTCCATAAATTTGATGGATCTCTCAATACACTTGGGTTTGATTCTTAGCTTAACAATGCAGCTTTAGAATATTTGGGAATCACTTGTTAGTATGTGGGATTCCTGAAGCTTTGTATAGACACAAGCAGGCTATAAAGAGATCACAGAAAAAGATAAACACTTCGACATGTTTTAAGCTGTTTTAAAAGCAGATTTGCTTTTATTCTGGGTAAGTTGCTTTGAGAGCAAGCTCAGTACATTTTAAATGACTGCTTAAATGGTGATGATTCTGAAGCTGTATTTTAAGTTACCCTAGACAGGATCTCACTGTTTCAGATGAGAGGGAATGTGCAGGTTCCCTAATAATAAGTTGACACTTCATGCTGATTTCAGGTCACTGAAGTATTTAATAAAAATAAGCATCAGTTCCATTAAACTAATCCCTAGCTAGATCCCTACATAGGAACTGATCAGAAACCTGCTAAAGTATCTGCAGCAGAACTAAAATTGCTGTTCTAAATTTAAGTATTTTCTTTGTTTATTGTTCTTCTCTGCCATGCATGAGTTCAAAGTAAGAGCTTGTTGGGCAGAAACCTTTCCACATTGCTCCCCACAGACCAGGATGAGAAATGATCTGGTTATAAATTATTTCTGTTTAGGGTGATCTGTTTTGCACAAAAGCTTTATTTTCCTACTGTCTAGTGGGTACCAGGTCAAATGGTATATAATCCTCTGCTGCTTAGAGCAAATAGGGTGTTCATGAATAATGAAATGGCTGTGAATCAAGCTAACATCTGAGCTGGCCTGTGCATGCCTATTTTGGAAGATAAACTGGGAGAAGAATTGTTCATTACCTGTTTTTCAGTATCTGATAAAAAGGAAGGTGAACTTTTAAATAAATAAAGGGCTTATTTTCTGAAAAAGCAAAATCATCTGAGAAATAAACAACTTCTGAATGATTTAAGAATTTTTTAAGAATATAACCTCCTGACATAAATGCTGAGCCAGTCTTGCTCATGCAATTATGTGTCCCAAATATCATGTAAATTGCTTAGGTTGGGAAAACATGTACCTGTGATTGACATCACGTATTCCTGGAGAAGATGGAAAGCTGGTCTTTAGGGAAGGAATCAACTCTGCTTTCATAGCAATTCAGGCTTTAAGTCTTTTTATTTTCTGTCACTTTGAAATTCCAAGTCAGATTGCCATCTTTGCATAGTATTACCTGCATTTATTTTCCAAAAGACAGTAAGACCCAACACTCTCAAAATCTCTGAGGGGTTTGCTCTAAAACCCCATGAGATACAAGAAATTGGTCTCAGTGTTGTTTTCTCTTTGATGTCTTTGTATGCTCTTCTTGATTTGTTGTTTTCTTATGTTTCTTTCTGAGTGTTTTTTGGCAAATATAAATGGTCTGTGTACTTCAGGGAGGGGAGAGCATAAATTTGAAGCCACTCATCAGATAAACATGAAACAGAGGTGCATCACAAGACTCACGATAAACTCACACTGCTAATCTCTTCTAACATTATTAAAAACACCAAGAGTTTTTGCTTTGTAATACGTCTTGCACAAGTTACTTGCCACAGATGACTGCAGGATTGTATTTGCAATGAAATGATGATGCTTTACCACCCTTCCAGCAGATTCAAGGATACAGAATGCTGGAAGTGGACAAGCTTAGATTAGGCATGCAATTGGTGACTGAGAGTTTTAGGGCAGAACAGGGCAAGGAATCAATGAAATATGTAGGGTTTAGAACAGGCAATTATAATTGTACTAAAGATAATTTTTGCTGTATTCTGTTCCGGTTTTGCATGGTGGCTGGCATGCATCCTGAAGCAATGTCTAAAACACTGGCAAAATTATGCACAACTCCTGACTCATGGGAGAGGGTGGGCTAAAGATAGATCCAGCACAGTGGTGTGAAGATACATCTGTACCAAAGATGTGTTGTTGCTCTGCTTGGTATTATTAGTGTGACCCACTAAAGGCTAGGAATCTTGCATTCTCTTTGAAGCCCATCTTCATCTGATCTCCAAATATTTGTGGAGGATTTCAGAGGCTTTTGTTTTGGATGAATATGGAACACTTAACCATGTTTGGGGTCTTTCTTACGTAGAAGACAGATTTTAACATCAAGGCATCTTTACAAAATAAACAGAATTATTTCTTAACCCCCAACAGTGTAACTACACGTAGGGGCATCTCTTCTTACACAAGCCAGCTGTCAGTGGCACATCACCACAAGGGTGTGGTTTGGTCATGCCTACACTGAGAGGTGCAGGCAGACCCAGGAGCCTCTCTTGCTTTCTGAGCCACTGGACACAAGCCAGCTCTGGTCTGGAAGATGCTTCAGCTCCATATGCTGAGGGTTTGGGCATGTTAACTTGAGCACAGCACTGCAGGCTAAGGAGCTGTGCCCTTGTTGCACCCATCTGTCTAAGTGGTTCTTCTTTTTCTCTGTCCCTTTTCCTGAATTTCCCTTGACATGCAAATAGCTACAGAAAGGAAAAAGCTTCCCCTTATCTAGACTTCTCCAGAGTTAATATAAATCCATGAAGTAAATTAAACTCCTAGGACCAAGTAAGCCCATGACCACCACATCTTAATTCAAGCAAAAACCCTCCCATTGCTGCAATTTTGTATTACAGCTGAACTCTGTTTAATAATAACAGATTTCTCCATAGCCAATAAAATGAATTAGTGGATGCCTGTAATTTGAGAGGCAAACAAGAAGGCCTTGTAATTTAATGTTGGAGACCCAGATGTTTCCCTCCAGTTTTTGTCACTGTTGTCATAGTGGCTGTGTATTGAGTTTAGATTTTGGTCTTGAGAGGTGGATCATGGTCAGTATTTTGTAGTTACTTGGAATCTGTGGTTCTCTGCTGGATACAGTGGTTATAGACACAAAGAGGGGGTCTCCTGGGCACAGAGCTGTTCTGCGAAGGAGCAGGTGCCTGCCACTGCAGGGAATGCCATGTCTGATGAGTGGGTGTTTCTGCTGACTCTGCCCATCATTCTCCAAGTGCAACCAACATAAGTGTTGAACATTTGTGTGGTTAAGCACCATCAAGGTGTACATGGAGTTACCACTGAGACTTCCCCTGAAGTCAAACTCCCACGAGAGAGGAAGGGTGTTTTCAGAAACTGCTGGCTTCTGGAGCAATTCAGCATCTGCAACTCTTCAATACTAGTATCAGTTCAGGATTGGTACAATGTATAGTTCTGGAAAACATGTTGAGTTCAATATGGAAGAGTTCCGTCTCTGTGTTGCTAATATTTGGCTAATGGCATTGACATGACCTTAATTTTAGGTTGAATTTCAAGTGAGTTTGGGGTTAACTCTGGTCCTGCTGAAGTCTCTGATGCAGCTTCAGAACGACAAGGGGAATATTTTGCCATGCCGTTCTGGGAGGGACATCTACATAGTCACGTTTCAATTGCTCCCATCTCAGTTGTGGGAAGCAGGAGACAGGACCTGTCCTTGGAGCCCCTCCTTCCATGCCTTAAGAAATCTGCAATTTGCAAAGGTGATGCTGGGCTGAGAGCCTTTTACCATGGCAGAAATTAAGCTTAGAAGTTACTCCTGCTCCCTGTATTCTCTCAGTGCACCCTTTTGTAAGTGCTACCCAGAGTTATTGATCCTTTTGGTACAGGTGGTTTCATGTTCCTGCTTTCATTGCTGAGGCAGTAGTGGGTTGTGTTTCAAAGAAGGATTTCATTAAGTTTGAGGTTTAGCCACATTCAGTATCATCTTGTGAGGTATTGGATAAGAGCCTAATTCTACTGGAGACTGCAGTTTCTGATGGAGGAAGGACTGATAAATTTACAATCCCTGGAATAGTTGTTATAGCTACTATAAAATTAATCCACCAAACCTACAATATTTAGAGACTTAATTGATTGGAATTCATATGTTCAGACAATAGACAAAACATACAAGTGGGTCTTCATGAATGTGTCTAATGATAAGGGGGATTTCCAATCCAGATTTCCTAATTCAATTTTTTTTTTTAATTTTCCAGTTGAGTGTACAGTTTCATATACATACTTAAGATATTAATTTGGGGAATTAAAAAATTTGATCCCATCTCCAGTTCTATAAAAACAATGTAATGATGCTTTTGAGTGAAATGCTTTTGCAAAACTCTTTTTTTCTTTCAGTGAATAGCCAATGATGTTCCCTCATAATAAAAGCAAAATCTATTTTGCAGAATCCTCCAATGCTACTTTATTGACCAATGCAGAAAAAATTGCTACAATCACAACCACACATACTCCTCAGCAAATACCACAGGAGACCAGGTCAGAATGTTTTCCTTGAGGAGGGCATCTTGACATGCTCTCTCTTCAGCTACTTCTGCATCACTTTCACATGCCATGAGCTGTATTTTTCCTCTCTCCCTTTTACTCATTACAGCAGGAGCAACACCAAACCAAAGCAGGAATCCCAGTATGATTTCAAACCACCCCAAGCAGCACAGGTAAGGAGTACCTCTCTAATTGTTTTGCTTACTACAGACTGTTGTTTCCAATCTGCTTGAGGGCTGTGTTTAAATATTTCCCTTGAAAATTCCTCCTGAGAAGCTGCTCTCCCTCAGACTGCTGAAAAGAAAGAGGAATTTGCTGATTAGTTTCTTAATATGTGTTGCTGTTGTTTCAGCTGAGAAACATTTCCAACACATTCTCATTGAGACTTTGAGGGAGTAAAATTAAAGAAAAAAAGAGCTGACATTTTTAGGGCAGTAATAATTTATGTGTTTGTTTATTGAATTGTCTGTTTTGAGGGGCCTCTCCAGAAGGTATTGTTGTGTGCAAATGATAAATTCAGAGAATAAAAAAGAGGAAAACTTAATAAGGGGTGATAGCTGGAGTGTTCCAGCTTGCAGAGACGGCATCTTATTAGAGAGATTATCTATCTCACTGTTAGCTTTCCTTGCCACTGGCCATCCCAGAAGTACCATCTTCCATTAGGGACTTCAAAACATCTCCACAGTAGCATTTGACAAAAACAATGCAAAGGCTTCTGGGCTTCTTACAGAGGAAAAAATTATGTGGTAACAGCACAGAAAACCAGCACCATGGCACAGGTTCACCCCAGGTACCATCAGACATTGCACTAAAGCTGGCACTGGAAGGGAGGTTGTCCTTTGCCTTCCCTGGTTGGTAGAACCTTTAACCACCTTCCCAAAATGTCCCTTCTTGCCCTGGGCACGGGAGGTGCTGTGTAACAGGGGTGCCCAAAAAAGCACCGCAGGACATGGCCAGGCCCACTCATTCCAACAGCCCTTCACCAACCACCAGAACTCCAAACTGCAGAGTGGGGTCTGAGGAAGCAGCAAATCCTGGTCTATGTGTGAAAATTCAACTGGTTTTCGCATTTCTAATTATCACTAACAAAACATTGGTTGAACAATTCCAACATGAGAGCAGAGCAGTATTTGACTTTCCGTTTGACTGGGCGTTTGTTGTCTTCTCTCCAGCAGGACCAAGACTTTTACACTGTTGAGCTAGAAAGAGGAGCCAAAGGGTTTGGCTTCAGCCTGCGAGGTGGCCGGGAGTACAACATGGATCTGTACGTGCTGCGGCTCGCTGAGGATGGGCCCGCTGAGCGATGTGGGAAAATGAGGGTAGGCACAAACCAGCTTTAAAAACACCTTTCTTTGCAATAAGCTGACTTCCCTGCCTCTCCCTTCTGCTGTGCCAGCTAAAAGGGAAATCAAATGTGAACTGAAAGTGGTTCCTATTTACTTCTGCTGATGGCATCTCTTGTAACTCTTGGTACATGGTCTATAGCAGTGTGTGTTCAGTGGAAGACTTCACCCCCTTCTTCCAGCACTGCTTTCCAAACTCCAGTACATGATCTGTTGTTTAAAGCCCAAGGGGCTTTCACGTGTAGCAGGGAAAACGGAACAGCCACAGTCTTTGCCTGCTAGTGAGCAGACAGGGGACAGAACATGTCTGTGGCCCACGGGTTACAAAATCATAATGTAGGTTCTGATTAAGATTAATTGTTAACTTCACGTATCAGCTAAACAACGAATATTATAACAAGGGCATATGTTATAAAATGCCTACTAAAAAAATCATTTGACAGGTTTTATGTACTCCTAGGACCTCTGTTAGAGATGCATTATAACTTCCCTGCATACGTCATTGTCTCTAGATATATAATGTGAAGGGCATTTTCAAAAGTCTTGTGCTAGGGGTGGATCTGTGGGTCCAGAATTTTTGCTGATGAAAATATAATGCAAAATCAGTGCTGCCCTGTGAAAGTCAGGGCTTTGACAAGCACTGCCAAGCCTTGTTTTCTTCTGCTGATAAATGATTATATTTACAGAATCAGCTTTGCTGATTCATAGTAGGTGTCTATATCCAAGTTAGAAACAGACCTGAAAAAACTCCACGAACATCCCGGTTGGAGCAGACTGTGAAACAAGCAATCACTTTGACTGAAGACTTTACAAATAATCAAAATGAAATAAAATAGCAGCAGTTCTAACACTGTACTTAATATTGAGAAGCACAGTAATTGCAATGTGATTTTGCAGAACAGCAGTGAAATATTTTCGTACCTCAGGCTTTCTCTATCATCTTCATGTCTCCCAGACTGCTGTACACTGTGCACTGTGGATGGTCACTGGAAGGAGCTGGACATGTGTAGCTTCACCTGATGCATAGCTGTTCCAGCTTTGCTATGGCCACTGTCTTGTGGTGTGCTGGTAGGGACCCTTGTGGGGCCTTGTTTCTAATCATAGTCTCTTTTTTTACATTGGCAGATCGGTGATGAAATCTTAGAGATCAATGGAGAAACTACCAAGAACATGAAGCACGCCCGGGCCATCGAACTGATTAAAAATGGTGGCCGCAAGGTCCGCCTGTTTCTGAAACGTGGAGATGGCTCTGTCCCAGAATATGGTGGGTCAAACTATGAAAACATTCCTTTCTTCCCTGGCATCACTCCATGAATATTTGTCTCAAGATCTGAAGCGGGAATTCTTTTTTATTTTCCTTTCTCACCAGTGTCTTACCAACCTTTGCAACATATAATTGCCTCGCTTGTGCTGAATTTTCTACACATTTCATCCTTTGCTTGCTTCCATGGACTTGGGGCGCAGTGTAAGGCAAGAACACCATAGCAGTATTTTTTTGGTGATCAGAGAGGAAAGCAAAACAAAACAAACCTTACTGTCTTGTCCAGCCAAAAAAGGAATGTTATTGAACTGTGCCAAACTGTTTCTCAGCGGCTGAATAGTTGTTTCACATAGATCTCTTCTTCTAATCAATGCAAAAAGTGGGATCCCAAGTTGCTATTCTGAAGCAGTGATTTATTTTTTTTTTTGGTTAGGTTTTTCTCTTAGTTCCTGTCTGTATCCATAGACATGAATGCCGAGATGGCTTATGAGATTTTTGCCTTTCCTTAATATTTATGTAAATATTTATAAAGTTATTTGAGAAAAAGAAGGGGAAAAAAGCTTTACTGCAAAAATATATTGATTTGGCCTCCTGAGCCCTTTTCTTCCCCCTTAAACAGTCTGCTGGTTTCAGCTAGTTAATATGTAAGGTCTGAAAAGGTGAGGAGGTTATGAAAAGGTGCTCTCATGTCTGTCTTGGGGGAAACAGTCAGTCCTTGTTTCTTACTAAGAATTGCATTAGATTTCCTTTTCTTCCCCTGGAGGTTGGATTGCTGGGTGGCTTAACTTAGCACACTATTTAATAATATAATTATGTCTTATTTATTTGAGATAATTGTCAAATATTGTGCCCTCGATGGAGGGCTACTCCCAACCAAAGGTCTTTGAGGTTTCTATAGAAACTGATGATTGAAGGGATGTCCTTTATACTTTCCTCCCCGTATTTGGGTTATTTCTGTGTCAGTAAGTTCTGTGTTTATCATTCTCTCCATGCCCTAATACCAGAAACAAAGCCCTTCTGCACAATTTATGAGCTAGATTTTCTTTTCATTTGCTGTACTATGTTTAAGAGTTTCTGCTCAGTCTGCTCATTATTTAACTTAAAATGACCAATTCAGAGTATAACCAACAAACAATTGAAGTGTTTTAACGATATGGAAGGGAAGTTGTGGGTTTACACTTCTGTAATATAAATAGCACACCAGAAGGTTCAATGATGGCACTGAAATTCTGTAATGTTCTTTCTACTTTTGTCTTTTCCTATACTCCTTTGGATGTACAGTACTGTATCATATGCTAGACTGCATAAATACCCTGTAAATTAAGTGCTTCACTTCTCAAAGCATATGTCTGTTGCACTGAGGATGGAAATCCATCACAAATTTTCTTTTGGCTAATGCTAACCACTAAACGTTCGTTCTCCAAGCAAGGATTTAATATACAGGGGTTGCACTACTGTAAAGAATATCCTTGTAACATTTGGGACTCCTTTCTCTCTTTGTTCTGTTCGCTGCAGTCACAAATGGTTCCTCTAATAATGTTAAGTTCCAATATTTTTCTGACTTGATTGGAACGTGCTTCTCTATGAGGCTGTATATTTTTGTAATGAGTTTTGTACTTATTTTTAATGTTGTGGTCTCTGGTGGACTTTATTTTTTGTTGTTGTTTGATTGTTAATGTTTTTTCTATGACATTCTGTGTCGCTGTTCCAGCTGTCTTTTAGAATGGATGCTCTCGTTGTCTGGGTTATTGAATCACCTCTTAGATGTCTCTTTATGTCACAATAATAACAACTGCTGTCTTTGCAGCCTTATATTTGGGTGAAGCCTAGACAATCTGACTGGAAAAATAAACTTTCTTTATTCTAAGATAAAATATGTAGATTTTTCTTTCTTTCATCTTTATTATAGGGAATCTAAATTTTCTACTTTTCTCTTTCTCTTTCTCTTACTTTTCTTGGTGCTGGGCTCTTCCTTCCTCAGCGATGATACCTCCTAATATCGCTGCATGTATGAGAAATGACAAGCTCGGGGAGTCTTGCTTCTACCTTATGGGCCATAATCAAACTACGGTTTGTAGCTAAAATCAATATTAGGTGTTTTTGTGCTGTGGCCTAATTCCCTCACATTGCTTTTCTGCTTCGCTATATTCTATATGTACAGCAATTCATCCCGAACACCCTGCGTCCCCCAAATTGTAAGTACACACTCCGCAGGACATGTTTGAACCTCGCTTGTACCTTGTGTGATAGGCAGGTTGCCACAAGCCACATGCTTAGAGCCACAGGAAAGCAGCGTGGTCCCATCCCCAGCTGTGGCCTGAAAGTGCTAATAGAGCCAAGCTGCCCAGGTGTGAGTTACAACGTGGGTTTCACTTGGAATTCACAAAAATCACAGCCCATGGACACACCTACCCTCCCAAGCTCGGGAGTGGCAATGCCATCAAATGGGAGACACTTGGCATGATGGCAGGAGGAATGTAGAGGGTTTGGCTTGGTGGGAGGGAAGGAAAAAAGGAGAAAAAGAGGGAAAAAAATCTGCCTATCCCCACTAGTGTTTGTGAGGGTTTCCAGTCGTTGCTATCAGGGCATTCCACCTCGAGGTGGGTGTTGGGGTGCAAGCATAAGGACGTGTCTAATGCCAGCCAAGCTGCCACGAAGGAGTTAAAGAAAGAAAACAATAAGCAAATAAAAGCAGCATTTGCATTAAGGCAGAGCAGCTACTTTAATGTATTTCATGTTTGTAATGAATCATTCATAAACATCCGTTACAAATGACGGGAGTAATTGTAGCTTAGCTGCAGTGCAGGGCTGGGGTTTAGTTTGGATGTTCTTTTTCTACTTCTGCTTTGCAGTTTGTCTTGCAGAGGCAGCTCAGCTGTATTTTACCTCAAATAGTACATGAAAAATAATGAACTGGAGATTAGATTTGAGTCAAAGCCATCCTACATATTACAGTATCTTTCCATTGCTTTGATATGAAAAAATCATAACTACTGTCATCGTTGTTTGAATCATTGTGGCAAAACCAAAATCTACCCTAGGACTTTACATAACACGGTAGAACTAAGTGAGATTAAGCTATGCCTTAAATGAAATGGAAATGGCATGATTATGGTCTAATTCTCACACCTTCAAAATGTTATTTTACAAGGTGGAAACTTAATAATCAATTCTATTTTCTCTACATTTTCTGCTATTTGAACCGGGGCCTCCCACACCTGGAAGGCAGTTCTTTATAATGTCTTAAAAGACAAAAATTGTTTCCTAAAGGCCCTCTTTATTGGAAGCTATTAAAAAAAAAGCAGACAACAACCTGAAGTACAATGTTTTTTTTTCCACTGGAAAGAATGTAGTGTAACCGAAACATTATGAATTGGGCTTGGGGAAAAATGTAAAGTGCCCCGTGCCCAGAAGAGCATAAAGATGAGATCAGCTTGGACCAAAACATGGCTAACGATCAGAGCAGCACCAGTACTAACCCGTAACTCTCGTTGTTCACAGTTAAATTAACAAAAGCTTCGGTTAGCCTTCCTGACTGCTTTAACAGTTGTTTGTTTTTGTCACTAATGAAGTCTGGAGAGTGCTAAGTGGTGTCACAGCACCGCGGAAGGCATCAATACCAAACCCTTTGCTGTTATTTTCTTTCAGACCCCAGCAGTGACAGGAACAGTCCCGCCACAGGTTCACAAAATGTATCGGAAATGAAACCCGTGCCATCCGACCGACGGCAGCACCCATCATCGGAGTCCAGTTATCCACCAGACCTTCACAAATCATCACAACATGGGGACAAGCGGACTTACGTTAGAGACCTAAAAGGCAGCAGAGAGTTTAGCAGACATCCCAATGAACACCACACTTGGAACGGGACTTCTAAAACCAACGACCACGTGCCAGGCAGGAGGATGGAGAGGTCGCCGGAGAGGAGGCACCAAAGGCAGCCAGAGAGGGCTGTGGTGAACGGGCAGAAGAGGAGGTCTCCTGAAAAGCGCAGAGAAGGGACAAGGAGCGCTGACAACACTTTGGAGAGGCGGGAGCGACTGGAGAGGAGGAGAGAGCTCTCTCCTGAGAGGCGCAGGGAGCGGTCGCCCGGCCGGCGGCGGCGGTCGCTGGAGAGGCTGACGGAGCCCAGGAGGTCCCCGGAGCGGAGAAGAGAGAGCTCCCTCGACCGACGGGCCAAGTCGTCCGACCGGCGGAGGGAGAGGTCGCCCGACAGACGGCTCAGGGAGGAACGAGCTGGCCAGCGGGAGAGGGAAGACCCCGGCTGGAAGCACGAGGCGAGCCGCAGGCACCTGCCCGAGCAGCGCAGGCGGCCCTACAAGGAGTGCAGCACCGACCTCAGCATCTGAGGGGCTCCCCGGGGTCCCTGTCACCTTCCCCACACCAAGGGAGCGGAGGAGAGAGTGAAACCACCTGGCTTTCGCAGGCGACGAGACATCCGCCGCCTGCTGATCCTACAAACCGTTTATGCAGATGAAATCTTATAACAAAAAAAAAAAAAAAAAAAAGCATTGTGCCTGATGTATAATATTAAAGAAAGTATTTTTCAGTGTATTCTTTTTTTTTTAATTACTTGCCAAATGTTGGTCCTAAAGGATTATAAAATTTTGTTTCTACATTCTTTGTAGATTTCTTAAAAATAATTCCTTTATTGGGCTACTTTCCCCCCTCCCCAATATAGTAAGTGGGGGTAGCCAGTAATATAATATAGGCAAAGGATTTTATGACCAAGTTTGAATAATTTGATCCAGACTGTTCTCTAGTGACTCACTGCTACACTGTATGTAGAAAATTTTTTAAGGGTTGGGGGTGGGGAAGGAAGAAAATTGTTCATCTCAGTAGGAATGGAGCACTCCTGCTGAAGGAATTAAAAAGGAAAGAGACAAATGTTCCTAAAGTTGCAAGAACTGTATGAAGAGACTACTGTTTCAATGAAGGATATTTATAATAATAATAAATAATTTAAAAAAATAAAAAAAAAAAGCAACCAAACCCACACAGCACAAGATGATTTACAATATGTAATTTGTAGTTTGTTCCATGAACAGTTTATACTTTCAGGCCCCCTGGACAGGATGCACAGAGGCAGAAGGACTGGTCACCACCATGCCTGTGCCACACGCTAACGTGGACTGTTGAGCTCTCATTAGCCTCAGCAACATGTAACGATGCTATGTCATTAAGGCAGCAGCCCTGCTCATCTCCCAGCTGTATATGGACAGCAATGCATGGTATTGTGTATCTGCTTGGAAGCAAGGGGAGGGATTGGGATTCTGGGACAAGGCACAATGCGGTGGGAGCACAGTCCCCCTGCTCGGAGCAGGTGTATTCCTTCTGCTCAGGCATAACCAGTGGGCTTTCATTTTGCCAAATTCCAAAAGCTCTCAATTCTTCTTGCTCTGTATTTAAAGGGTTGGGTTTTTTGTTGTTTTACTGGTTCATCCTTACTGAGACAAAAGGAGTGCACTTGCTGGGGAGGAAAGAAGAAAAAAAAAAAAGGAAAAAAAGTAAAAGTATCAAAGGGAAATCACAGGCTGAAAGAGGCAATCAGTGGGACAACCTGGTTGTAGAAGCCTATCCATACCTGGTTATATGCTGTAAATTTGAGTCTAAGAACAGCAGCAAAAGAGAAACCTGCAAGTTTCTAAGTTGTATTTTTAAAATTGCAAGCTGTGTGGTAAGTCTGCTGTAGCATTGGTCTAAGATTTAATGGATTACTGCCTAGCTGAGCCAAAATGTTTGCCGTTACTGTTGGACCACTAAAGTAAACTGCTGCTTTTTCCAGTGCATTGGTGTGTACATGTATACTGACTCACATCCTCCATATGAACACAAAACCATTGCAAGTCTATCACTGTTGTTGCCATGGTACTGTAAAAACAAAACCAAGAAAGAAGATGGCCAATCATTGTGTGTACAGTTGAAATTGTAATTAATAGAGCCTGTTGGAAAAAAAAACAAAACTGTTGCCTTTTTCTTGTATAAAAGAGGATTTATGACAAAATTTAGGTGTGAGGAATGTGATTAAGTGTTTATATTTCTAAAAATGGAAAAAAATTTGATTCAGGGGATATATTTTAATGTAAACTGAATCAGGTATGTAAAGCTGTTTTAAAATGGGAGACTGTATCAGTAATTCTAAAGCTTTTGTTGGTTTGAATATCATTTCTTTCTTCATGGTGGGCCTGCTTATGTATTATTAAGCACTTGTATGCAGTCTATATTCTCCAATCATCATTTCTTGCAACATGCTATAGGCAAAATGCTCTTTTCTGTGTTGATGAAAAGCAGTATGTGGGCCAATCTTTTTTATAAAACACTATGCATATATAAATACTACATTGTTCATAGCTTTATTTGACTTAATTGGGTTTATACATAACACTAGGACGAGTAGATGTGGACTTACCCAGTAAGAGCTTCTTTCCTTGGAACAGACACTATGTATATGATGTAGCAACAAAGAAGGAGAAAGTCTGTGAATGCTATTTTTATTATCAAATAAAGTTTTCCATACAAAGCATGCATGCGAGTGTAGTGATAAGATAAAGGAAGAACCACACCTTAATGTTACTTATTCATCCCTGCCTAAATTAATAAAATCATAGGTTATGGTCACCAAGGGCCATCTATTAAATATGTATTAATCATCCATTAAATATGTATTATCATTTGACAAGCCTTAAAGCAAAGTTTCCCAGTCTTCCAGGATAAAATTTCCTCCCCTAAAATAGTCAGAAATGAAAGGTTTAGGTGAAGCAGGGTCTGTCATTGTGTCTGAGGTTTGTGTCATTGATTCTTCATAGCACGTAGGCACGTGTGACCATAGAAAACCAAGGCAGCAACTGTTCAGTTGCTGTTGTGGAGGTTGTTGGTGCCATATATATGTGTGTGTGATGTATGAGTGTATATACATATACACACAAATATACATACATACATATATATATCACCGAGGCTGTATGTCTCCCATCTTAGTTCTTAAAATGTAGAAAGACTTTTAAGATTGAAAAATGTTTATATTACATATATATATTTTTTTAAAATTACTTTTAAATCTTGCATAGTTCAGCAGGCTCCACTCACCTGTTTACCTGAAACTTCAGGAAACCTGCTGGGAGTCCTGGCAGCTAGAGAGAGTCTATAGTGAAGGATTTGTATTTCCAGTCACAGCATCCTCAAAGGGATTTGTCTGGTGCAGTCTGAGTCCTTAGGGGTATGGAAGGGTCACTGAGAAAGTGTTTGGATATTTAAAATTTTCATCTCTTATGATGATCAATGCCTTTTTACCCTGAAACCATTCTGTAGTGGTATACATTGGTATACATTTGTACCTTCTGCTGTTGCTACTGTTTCTCCTCTTGTTCATGTTATAAATTCAAATGATCTTACAGAAATGAGTAGGTGAGTCTCAAGCTTTTTAAGTGTTGAATCTCAGCTAAAGATATTACATATATAATACCAAAATTACAGAAACATCTAATTTAAAAAGAAAGTGCTACAAGTTGAAAAACAAAATTCAAAATGCCTTGTTAGTGGTGGCATCCTTTCTACTGCTTCCAAACCCCCTGAGAGCTGGAGCCCTGCTCTGCAGCATGAGCATTGCAGCTCCATACTCTGTGGTGCAGCCTTAGTCACTGTAATTAATTCCAGCCTTACTTTTAACCATAAAATATTTTTCAAAACTTCTAAAAATGAAAAGAACCCCTTTTTAGATTGTAACTTGGCTCCTGTTTTGTCAAACAACATCCTACAACTGTGAAGCTGCCAAGAAGATGAGTTAGAATCTGTTTCTTATGAAGAACTGGGAAGTTTCTGAAGTGGTACGTGAAAAAGCTCTGCAAATTGATTTGGTTAGGGTTTGGGTTTGTTTTGGGGTTGAGTTTCACACCTTTTTTTTATCAGTCAGACATGATAAAGTTCCTGTGCCATCAGTATGCTCAGTCCTGTCATTTGCATTGATTAATTCCTAATTGTGAAAGTTTTGACTGCAGAGGGATTGTGCAGCCAACATGGAGAATTATGTGAGGTTTGATCTCTTTGGTTGGTCTTGCACGTAACTTCTGGGTTAACTGAGCTGTTTTTGCTGCCTTTATACACTTACTCAGTTCACTCCTTGAATATTCATCCCTTGGCATTGGAGCCAGTGTTTTATTTAATAGTGATCTTGTGTTAAACCATCTGCTGTAATATGCTTGTTTTATCACTGGAGTAGTAATTATAGATACTGTTCTCCTCCTCACTTTGATACCTTTTGTTACAACAGGCTTTCAGCTCTGTCTCTTGGCTGACTGTTCTGCTGAAGAACATTATAAATGGCTCATAATATGTTCAGTTTTTTTGGCTCTCATAAATAGTACCAGGAAAAGATGTCATTTATGACTCACTGCTGCCATCTGTAAATGTGTGCCTGTTAGGCCTTTGGGATTGTATTTTTTTTAAGATTTATTTCTAAAAAAGGAAGAGTGGAAACTAAAAAAAGTATCCCAATTTACTTAGTAGTTGCTGTAAATCGCGTGAGTCTGAGATGATGCCAGTTTCTGTTTTGGATGTGATGCTAATCCATCAGCATTCCTTCCTGGTATGTAATGAAGAGGCAGTAAAATATCACCCAAATGGAAATGTTGGGGTTTCAGGACAGAGAGGAGAATGAAATGCATCGTGTCACAAGGACTGCTGCTTAATGAATGTAGGAATTCAGTGGCTGGGGCTGACCGTGATTGGGCAGTCTGACACACAAACATGAGCTTCAATTCAGAAATTTTATTTTTCTTTCCAAAATTTAGGGCATACTGTTCCTGTATTCCTGTGTCTGAATTCCCTATAAATACCCCAAGCATACCCTACAAAATAGGGTGCAAAAGCCATTAAAATCCAGTGAGGTTTATGCATGAGTTCAGGCTCAAGCAGTGTTTATCCCCGTATTTTGTCAGAGTTTAGACTTTCATATCTGGGTCTAGAGGCACCAGGAGATGAGCTCTGGCAATTCAGCAGAAAATAATATGTGCCCTGGCCCTTCTACATCAATGTCAGACATCTCTGCATGGACCCATTCTGGTGATAACGTGAGCTGCAGTAATGAGCTCTTCACTGAGGCAGCAGAGATGAACAGCACCGTCCGTGTTGCTGACTGGACAGATGAGGAGGCTCTTATCCTCAGCAAATCTTCTTTGGCAGCATGTGCATTGCAAATCTCCCTTTCAAGGAACAGTCTGAGCCTCAAGATGCTGAAGTTGAAACGGGGGTGGTTTCATCTCCTTGAGAAGTCTCATTAGCTTTATATTTTGCAGTAAAGAGTTTCTTAAAAGAGGACTTCTGGGGAGGTTTTTCTGCAGCAGGAGGAAGAGGTCATACTCAAGCAAATCCAAATTGCTGGCATTATGCCTCAGCCAAGGTACTTTTGGTCCATTCCTAAGCTGATGTGACTTTGGTGCTGATGGTAAGAAAGAGTCAGGCTTATATGGAATGGGAATTCCACATTGCTCATGTAGATTTTGTAGACCAGGCTTCATCTCTGCCCCAGTGTCATCTATGACCAGTCTTAAATTTCCTTTCTTTCATTTGCATTTGTAAAAAATTTCAGTCTTCAGGTTTTTTGTCTGTCACTGGAGGTTTGAGCCCATGTGACATCACCTCACATCTGCTGTGAGCTAAGGCCATATTTGTGCTCACATTTGGATGTATGGCTGAGCTTATCTGCAGCAATTTGTTGAGTCAGGAAAACGGGATGGTGAGACTGTCCCTGCAAGCCTGATGGCTCGTGTTCGTATGAATGAGATTTTGAATTAGCTGCCTTGCTTCTTTCTAAGGATAATCAGAAATAGGAATGTCTGGAGGAGGAAGTTGGCTGAGGCTCATTCCATATGTGTTAAAGAAAATATTGATTGGATGTGGAAGCAACTTGGAGAGCTTCTTGAGGACTCGGGCTTTTGTTCCATATAAATGAGCAGGGGTTTTTCTCATTGTTTCTC